CTGTGGATGTAATGAATGGTAATTTAAGTTACTGTAAACATTCATATCGACATAGCGGATTAGCCATTCTGCCCTCGGATCTATAGGGTGTTATGACCCAGAGAACTGCTGCTCGTTGACTATTACAGACCTCAGGTCAGACCGGCTCGTCTGACACCAACAACCATGACACATTCAAAGTCACTTAAATCTCTTATTTGATGCTCAGTTTGAACTTCAGCAGATCATCCTGACCATGTTTACATGCCTAACTACACTGAGATGTTTGTCCTAACAATTAGTCAAATATAATAAATCTAATATAAAAACATACTTTTTTCTTTTTAAATGTAAAAATAGTATTTCTTATGATGCTCATTGAATGTGTCTTTTAAAAATAATTCTTATTCATTAATATTATTTGAATTGCATTGTTGTTACTAAAACGAAAGAAGTTTCAGTTAGTGACTCATTTGTGTAAAACCCCTGTCAAACCTGCTCGACCACGTTACGATGAATGTTTTGTGCATTGACTACAGACGTATACATGCTTACACTCAGCTGTCAGTCTAACTAGGCCAGAGGTCAGCAACCTGTGGCTCGCATCAAAACGTCGTTAGCTTTGTAGGTATAAGTGAAACCAAAACTAATGTGCACACTAAAAATTGTGTTTATGGACATGTGGATCAGATGTATATTTAAATACACTAAATAAGCTGGAGGTATCCAAGAAGAGTCAGCAGGTAACGGCAGGGAAGAATCTCTTTAAAGAGTGGTGAAAGACAGGCAATGCCAGCCCTCAATCCAAAAAACAACTGTGAATAAGCCTTATAATATAACCTTTTAACGTCATATACCTAGAAGGGACAGTTCACCCCAAAACATGTTTTTGAGAAGATGTATACTTGTATGGTAATGTAAGCTTAGAATATGTCAAGAGGGCAGGTAGGGCTTGCTGTTAACACAAATTCTTGAATATTTTACTTCTACATCTAAGATTGAGTTAGTTCTCTACAGTTACACATTCCAGTTTCCAGCTTCCAGCTAAGCACTTCAAGGAAGTATCTGAAGAATGAACCATGTGGTGACGCTGTGGTCAGAACCACTGATTATGGATCTCTTACTATTTGAGGGCTCAGGCAGCACTGAAGTCACCTATTAGATAAATAAGATAATTTTTTCACTGTAAGTCAGTCTACTTCTTGTACCTGACCTTTTTTTTTTTTTGGTTAAACCACTTAACTCTGGTTCATGAGTCATGCAACCATGAAATAGGCACCGAACACAAATGATGTTCCACTGTTGCAGAAAAATGAGCAAGTAACACATTAAATTGTATCTTTAGGCACTTTGTTACAAGCAGCTTGTTGCAAAAACATTTGCATCTGTAAAACATGCTGGAGGCTCTGTCATGTTCGGGGCTGCAGCTGTTCGATATGAGGACAATGTAATATCGCGATACACGATATATATCACGATATGTTTAAATAACCTCCAAAAACAATGTTATTTCAGTCATATTGTGCCTAGAATTGCACTGGTTTAATCATTCAAATCAACCATTCAGTGATTTTTTTCTAGTGAAAATAAAAAATCAGAATGAATTGAAATGTTTTATTTTTAACCATTCTTTAACCATCAGTTTCCACCGAGGTTTTTCACAGTGTCTTTCTGTGATCAACACAACAAAAGATCACAGCAACAAAAAAGTACATCAAGCAAGACTTCATGAGACAAACAAAACAACTGAAATTAAAAGGGTGTCTTTTGTGCTTCTAACATAAGAAAACTGTTAAATAAAATTTTTGATGACGTCAAATTACAGAAACAAAAGTCTAGACAGTGACTACAAAAAGCGACTGACCAAGAATAGTCTTAATTTTATAGTGAAAGACTTTTCAGCTGGTGGAATAAATTCACCTTTAGTGGCAACAGTTTTACTGCATGCTTTGCAAATTTTCGCATTTTGTTTGACATCCTCCTCCTGAAGTCCAAATGACGAGCGAGTCTCATTCCCTCGCTTTGTCCCTATCTGACAGGACATAAACACGCATGCTCAGCGCAGTGTGCCGGGCAGGACGGGGGTTAATGACATTAAAAGAAAAAAAGAAAAAGAAAAAAGTGCTTAATATTTTCATGGCAACATGCTCGATGGTTACAATAAAGCCATTTTAACCAACGCACATGGAATAACCTGTGATACATCAAATACGTTCGATATGTTGCCTGCTCCTACAGTTCAGTCAGTGGTGTGGGCGATCAGGTCAAAATTGATGGAAATGAAAACACATAAATGCTGTTAGAGTTTGAACCATCATCAGGAAAGTGTCTGATTTCTCTGAGGTCTCATTTGTTCATCCCAAACACACAGCCAGTGCAGTAAAAACATGCCTGGATAGAAAAAACACACAATAGAACAGGATTCATAGTCATGGACTCGCCCTCCCCGGAGCCCTGACCTCAACATTATTAAAGCAGTGTTGGACCATTTTAACAGAGAAAGTAATAAAAGACAGCCAACATCCAAAGAAGAGCTTTGGAATGTGTCCTTCAGGAAGTCTGGAGAAATATTCCTGAATAATATTTAAAGGAAAAAGCAGAAAGCTCGGCTAAGAAGGTTCAGACTGAGTGAAGAATAAAGGTCATCATACCAAACATTGACTTCTGAGCTTGTGAGCTTCTATAGTGTATTTTCATTTGTTTGCTTATTTCAACAATGCACCCATTTCCCATTTTCCTAAACAAATGTCAAAAAGAAAGCAGTGCCTTGAGACTTTTCACAGTATTGTATATGTGAACCTTGTTCTAAGATTTGCTGAAAACCAGCCCAGACACAGAAGATCACACCAAAGTATCTGAAGGTCATCTCAGCATTATCATGTCTGTTACCCTTTTCATTTCCTTCCACCAAACCACATGGAATTATCAGTCGCTTCGACATTTACCTTTCAATTAAATGCTTTAGAGCCCTCTGCACATTTAAAGCTACCTTTACCTAAAGACTTTTTAGGTAATGGTTTGATTACAAATAAACTTGAATATGTAGAAAATGTTTTTCAAATTGTAATCCCGGCATGCCAATTTCTGCCTCGACTTTCTCAAACTCAAACCCTGTTTGTTTCCACCGTTGTTCATTTCAGCGCCGTGCCCTCCTCCATTCCTCGCTTGCTCCACTTTCATTCTTTTACTTACAGCAGTCATCTGCTCTGTGTGTTCATCGTTTCCTCCGCTCTCTTTGACTATGTACAGCTGCTGTTTTCTCTGCCAGCGACTGCAATTATGGGCTGCTGGAAGAGTGTGTGTGTGGGTGAATTTAGGTAACTGTCTCTGTATGCACCGAGTCAGTATGCATGCCTATCCTTTTAATTTGCATCTGTGCGTGCACTTGAGTGGGCATCACCCCCTATTTTTCCCTCATCTGTTTACTTGCATTTTAAAGTAGCTGTGTGGGCGTCAGATGATGCCTGAACAACTGAGGAGCTACTTTCATTTTGAAAAGCATAAAATGGAATTTCATTGCATTGCTTTTGGATATATGAAGGGGAACAAAGACATTTTTCCACAAAGCACATCAAATTAGCTCGAGTGGTTAAGCTTTGGATTTAAGGAAACATGTTTGCCTGTTCTTTCTCTCTGTACATCTACCAGCAAACAACTGGTGGATGAAGATGATGGGGTGGGGTTATAACTAGGCAGCATTTTAGACGAGTCAAACATGACCCCTACTCTACCCCTAATCCTTGCTTGGTTCCTACAATTCTATTTCGCTGGTTACTACCGCTATGTCCAGACAGTAAGTGGGTAACCGGTGCAGTCCAACACCATTCTGATGGGTCCTGAGCAACCAGCAACAAGAGATGACTTGGGAGTGAGAACAAGGTTTAAGGTAGAGGCACAGGAGATATTTCTATAATGTCAGCAACACTGGGATCCTAGCTAGCATCAGGTACAATAGTTAGACAAAATCCCCCTGGATGGAGGAACAATGTCACCCTCATCATGGATGAGATTGCATCAGTTTTCCTAGAAATCATAAAGCATCTATGAGACGTTTTAAGATTTCTCAGTTTTTTTCTTGCTTTCATGCTAACACTAAACATTGACCATCCAGAACCACGTCAATGAGACTGTGTCCAAATGAGTTCAGAGAAATCTGGCTCTGAATGTGGATCACCAACTTTTCATGCTTGGCTAAGGCACGGGGTAAAGTGCTCGAGCCAGAATATCCAGCAGTAGTCCAGACATTGTCTGCTTGGCTGCCAAATAGCAAACACAGAAAATAGAACGGCTCGTTTAATGTAGCACAGCCACAAAGCCTTCCTTTTGTACCACTCCATCTGAAAGGACAATTAATTTTCTGTCCTTTTCTGTACGGAAAATCCCATAAGTGAAAACTACTTTAGCCGTGACATTTAGCCTGGTTAGCCCGCTTCACATGATGTACTGTTTCTTTTTCACTTATTATAAATTAATTGGTTATTTACCAAATTGTCAGTTCTGTGTAGATAACACTGACTCAATCAAGCATAAAAACGTGCCCAACTCAAGGGATGAGCCAGTGTTAAGTATCATTCCTATCAAAATAGTCAGGTAGCCTTTGTCCAAAGAAAATCTTTGAAAGATCTTCAACAAGAGTAGCTGAAGACTTTTCCAAAGTACTCTGTCTGCAAAGGACTTGTAATAGTTACTAGTTCTTATCAATCAAGATAAAATTCCTAATAGGAAAGGCTGTGGCTCAGAAGGCTGGCGGTGTGATCCCCGATTCCTCGAGTCTGCATGTTGTATGAATGTGTTTATAAGTCTTGTAGTAAGAAAGTTCCTTCATTGGTCAAATAGAGTAGAAAAGTACCAGTCTAAAGACTACCATGCACTTCTCAGTAATTATTCCGTAGTCAGAGAGAAAATAGATTAAAAAAAAAAAAAAACAAAAAGAAACAAGAGTTCAAAGACATTTTTCTCAAGTAGCATTTCCAAATTCAGGTGTTATTTGTTTTCAGACACAGATGATTTAGAAGTCAGAGAGTGATATTATACCCCTTTCGTCAAACTGACAGGTCATTAATTATTCATGAGCTCCGGAAGTCCGGAAGTAATTACTTCCGGAGCTCCGGAAGTAATTAAATTATTCATGAGCTCCGGAAGTAGGAAGTAATTAAGTAATAAAAATATGATATTCATAAAAATATGATATTCATAAAAATATGATATTCATAAAAATATGATATTCATAAAATTATGATATTCATAAAAATATAATATTCATAAAATATAATTGATTATTTAGAAAGTTTCTTATATATCAAAATAGCATTCTTTTATTTCTTTAAGCAATTAAATTTTTTTTAAATTTTTTTATGCTCAAAAAACGCCATCTGGTGGCGGGTCTGAGTGTTTGTGTGTGCGCACGCCCGCGCGCTCCCTGAGGCTGTGTGTCTGCGTGTCTCCGGACCGTGCTCTCTCGGGCTCCGTGCTCATGTGTTTAAAAATGTATTAAACCATATTAAAATTGTTTAGTTAAACTTGTGCTTTTGTAACGTTCAGTATGGCCACAAACACATGCTGCATGCATTGGGGGAAAACTTTATTTCGATTTATATGCATTTGTAGATTTAGAATAAAACTCATACTCAGAAAAAACTCGCGATCCCCTAACCCTAACCCTCCTTAGAAACATAAGCAGGGAAAACTCCTTAAAAAACCCTCCGCGTTTTCTCCAAAACCCTACAATAACTTGTTAGGGTACCCCCTCTATTCCCAAAACCTTATATTCGATAACAGGGGAAATCCTGAAAAAATCCTTAGTCTTTTTTCTCAAATTCAGCGCCCCGCGGCTCCCTTCATGCTCAGCCAAACAAAGCCAAAACTCCTTTAAAAAAAATCTCCGCGATTTCTCCAAAACCTAGAATAACTTGTTAGCTACCCCTCTATTCCCAAAAACCTTATATTCGATAACAGGGAAAATCCTTAGTCTTTTTTCTTCAAAAACTTCCCTCTTACTAGCAAGCTCTAAAATTCAACCCACACTCTAAGTTCTACCTCGCTCTTAATCTCCGATCCACAACTTCTTGCAGAGCACAATTTTTTCCTGCTTGTTCGCTCCCTGCTCTGCTCCCGAATGCGCTGCTTACCTCGTTTGAAAATTCCCCCCTTAGACCAACTCCGCCTCACTGCGCCCCGCTGCCAATCACATAACCCTTGCACCGCTCCCTTTGCACTCCGGTTAGCCAATCCGCTCCAGGTCCGATTTTTATGATCTCCCGCTCAGGTTAAGACTACCCCCGAGCTCCCAGAAGACCCCTGCCTTCAGCCATATCAACAACTGGAACCGCTCAGACTGCTTGCGAGTTCGCATAGGGAGCGGCCGATTTCAACAGCAACTTGCGTCTCTTTCCTTATCCGCATATCATTCGGTAAGTGTTAATCTTCCTCTCTAACTACATTTTTGCATTTTCCTTTTTACCATTCTGTCAATCCTTTCATTTAAAAAAATAAATAAATATCACAATGGTTTGTAACACATACAATACACCATCCGTCCATCCATTCGCCTCCACTTATCCTTTTTTCAGGCTCGCGCGGTGCGCTGGAGCCTATCCCACGTACAATACACTTTAAAATATATATAAGCTCCACTTTTAACTCCCGTAAAAGTTTATACATTACATGTCTACATCACCTATCATGGCCTCATCAGGTATCTCATATCATCTTGTTATTGTTATGTTATGCTCCTTTGATATTTTGCTAGTTTGCGTGTTTTAAAACTCTTTTTGTTTTTCTTTATATTTTTAGACCCAGATGTGTTAACCTGATCCCTGCGAAACACCAGCTCTGCGTGGATTTTGACCGCGAGTGACCGGATGTTGTTTCCGGCCTGAGGTTGCCTGAAATGCCGTGAGGCTCGTTTGAAAGATTGCGCCCGAGACCAACTCCGCCTCCAAGGCATGCCTACCTTTAGCTGCCACCAGTGAGATATCAGAGCCGGGCTCCACATATCCAATCAGGAGCACGAGCAAGACAGCTTTTGCAGACTCTCCAGAAATATACAAGTCCTTACCAACTGCTCTGCAACCCAGTGTTTCTGGTCCCCTCACTAACATCGCTTTTTGAGATATTTTTTATGAACCACCAAAAAAGCAATTTTACCCCACAGTACAGAAGACTGGGTCTGAGGGCAGCAGCGGGGACAAATGATTGTAATGAAGCGACGGACATTTCATGGCTGGTCTTGCATAATCGTGAGTTATTATGTCATATGGTGATAAGTACATAGTTTTGCAAGAGGCATACAAGCACTGTGGAAAAAGTAATCATAAAACTGTTTTTGTGAACACCCTACGTCATGCTTTAAAAAATGTGATACATGTAATGTGATCATCAAAGAACATGATTTAAAAAAAAAAAACTTTTATTCTTATGCTTTTAAAGTATGTCAGATTATCTTAAAACACTTATTTGTATGTTATAATGTTTTTCTTACACCATGTGTAATTTTTATAGACACCTTATTCATTGTATCAATGTGTAATTATGTATCTTTGATAAATAAATAAAATATTTAATCTTGTATTTGTGTACTTTCTGGTGATTCAATAAAAAAATAGTCACATATCGCTCTGATAAACACAGATGGCTGAAAGAAATGTTTGATGGAACAAAGGAAACAAGTGTCTTGCTGCTAAACTTTTAAGTCACCATGGTTTAAATGAGAAAGTCTGTATGTAAAACATGAAAAACTCCATATCAGTGATATCTACAAAGGTGTACTCATTTCTTTGTAATGGTACTTTACTGTTCCAATGAAACAAAAAGAAAATCTCATTTTTAAAGTACATTTTTCGGCCATCCTGACCTATTTTCAGGGGCAAGAATGTTGATGTTAGACTGTGTTTTAAATCAGGTTGTGATCTTAAACTAACTATCACAGCACTGATTTCAGTTGTAATCTCAATTAGAATCCCAATTGGGCTTTTCTCCAGTCAGTGTTATGGTGAAATTTAACTTGTTCTTTTGTGTAATTGCACATGGCCCAGCAAAGGACCCCTTAGTAAGCTGTACAGCATAAGTTTTCAATTCACTTTTGTCAGAAAACTTCACAGTATGAGAAGTTACAGCACAGTTTCTCCAAACGTGTGGTTCTTTTTCAGCCAGCGTGCTTTTAGAGCATCTACATTAGCTCATGTAGTAAAAGTACAATCAGTAAGTGTACTTTAACATTTGAGATTCCGAGTCACTCTTGCTTAGATCATGTGAACTATATCATGAACCTTTTTTTGTATAATGCATCAAACGTGTTCAAATCAGTTTATTTTCAATTTATTTTAACTAATCTAGAGACAAGCAACTCCTTTTTAGCTTCTGTTATGTATTTACCTCTCACACCTTAATCTAGATGTTAGTGTTCTCAGAGTTAACATGTCTCATGTTGCCATGTTGTATTTCTAATACCCAGCCTCAGTGTTCGCCCTGTTGACCCTCAAATCCAAACACCAATGATCTAGATATTCACAAAATTCATAAGGAGATTCTTAAGGTCTTAAGTTTTGTTGTTTTTATGTTTTACAAAAAAAAAACTTCACATTTTTTATATTTTTAAACGAAAGTGACATGCAAGGATATTTTTCTTTAGTGATGTTGCTTCAGCAATCTCAAATACTAATTATTCTGGGAATTTTTATGGTCAAACTATGTGATTTTCCAAATGTGTGTGTGTGTGTGTGGAGTAAAATGACCTTGTTCTTATGATGTTGTCACCGTGAATCATTTAGGATTAACAACACAAATTGTATCGATAGCAGAAACAGTCTTATAACTTATAGTTCTCACACGTTACCGCTAGTTTTACAAACGCAGTCTTCTTCAGCTCTGTTTATGTAGCTTTTATGAAACTGATTTTCCATAGTACAAGTAGAATTTAATTTTTCTTTGCTCTCCAGTATAAATGCAATAATTTGCAGGCTTTTTACTGAAACTCTCACAATGCAACACTCAATGCTCAGAGCTTCATATATCAACAGCTCTGAAAATATCTTCTTTTTTAAAGTAATGTAGGACAGGATCTCTCACTCTCTGTGTCTCAAAAAAACCCAACTAAACTGGCAATCACCACTAAACAAATGAAAGTAGTTTATGGCTTTTTTATCAGCTGCATTTCTTTCATTTATGTATTGATCCCATTGTTTATTGGTAATGCTTTTAGGTCACTGTTTTAGCATGTCTGCCTCACACTCCATTTAAACAGTTTAACAGATAGTGGGGTCTGGTAAGGAAGTTGGGGGGAAGCAGACAACTCCACAGGAAGAGTCTTTTTGTCTTTTCTCCACTGTAAAAGATAGCAAGGCAGTGTGAAACTTTCTTTGCGGGAAAGACAAAACTGAGAGCCATGCTAGGCTCAGTGAGAGACTCTGCTCACCCTCTGCCCCAGCGATGGCAGTCCCTCACCAAGCTTGATTTCTGTTCTTTGTCTTGATTAAAGAATGTTAGCTACCGCTCATCGCTTGTCTGCAGGCTTTATTAAACGGAAAACTTCCACAACAACCTCTAAACAGTGGTTTATGGCTTTTTGTCACCTGCAACACCATGTAACACTTGGATGTTAGATTCTTTTACCAGTCAGTGTTGTTAGCCCCAACCCCCAGGCTCCAGGTGTCTGAGCTCTAACCCTGGCTGCCAAATGTCCCCCTGAGGCCTTTGTGCCTTTTACCACCAGACTAAGTTTGTAGTCCTATCTACTAATATTATTTTATTTTTTATTATAGCACAAGGTTCAGTTAGGTTACTACTTTGACTTCCTCAATTTGAGCACATTTCTGACCCGATACTTTATCAAGCTTTTACTCGAGTGTTTTTGACACTAGCAGCTGTACTTCTACTTAAGTGAAAATTGCCTGCACTTTTGCCACCTCAGTTGCCACTTTTCTGGAGTTTGTACACTTTTTATATTGAAACGTTCAACGTTTTACGTGTTATCCTTGATCACAGTTCTAAACAAGTTAACTTTCTTCACTTCAAAGTAACCCAAAAAAGAAACTATATGTCCAGTTCTCTTTACTCCAAACCTGGTTTAAGGCTATGCTGTTGTTGTGATATGGCCATACAAATAATATTAAGTTTAATTAATCTTAAAAAAATGGCTGCTTCATGGCTACCTGTTCAGAGAATTTGCAGACTTTTATGGAAACTGTCACAATGTAACACTCTCACTGTCAAAACAGGGTTGATCCATGTTTCTATGAACACTGATTAATATATCAACAGCTCTGAAAATCCTTTTTTTAAAGTAAAGCAGAACAGGATCTCTGTATCTCTAAAAATCCCAACAAAACTGGCAATCACCTCTAAACAAATGGAAGTAGTTTATGGATCTTTATCACCTGCAACACCATGTAACACCTAGATGTTAGACTCTTTTACCATCACATTTGCAAGGGTTTATGTGTTATCCTTGATCACAGTTCTAAATAAGTTAACTTTCTTGACATAAAAGTAGCCCAAAGAAGACAAATATATGTCCAGTTCTTTTTTACTCCAAACCTATTGATCGGAAAACATTATGTGATGCTGGAAGTTTTCATCCTATCCATCTGCAAAACAAGTTTACCTGTAAGCCAACACATTAGACGTAAGCAAATTTGTGAAATTCCTGAACAATGTGCTTTGTGGAGTAGCAGTAGTACTAGAACTAGAACTAGTAGTCCTAGTATTCTGCAGCAACCAGGCTTCAAGAGTGATCACTCTTCTGGCTTTCAAATGGTGAAAACATGTGTCTCATGTGTGTGTATTGTGGCTGCTTTCACAAGTTGTGTCTCAAAGTCAAATTCCTTTTTAAATTTACCAACATTTCTGATTTGCGGTTAAGACTGTGACATGTTTTCACCATTTGAAAGCCAGAAGAGTGATCACTCTTGAAGCCTGGTTGCTGCAGAATACTAGGACTACTAGTTCTAGTTCTAGTACTACTGCTACTCCACAAAGCACATTGTTCAGGAATTTCACAAATTTGCTTACGTCTAATGTGTTGGCTTACAGGTAAACTTGTTTTGCAGATGGATAGGATGAAAACTTCCAGCATCACATAATGTTTTCCGATCAATAGGTTTGGAGTAAAAAAGAACTGGACATATATTTGTCTTCTTTGGGCTACTTTTATGTCAAGAAAGTTAACTTATTTAGAACTGTGATCAAGGATAACACATAAACCCTTGCAAATGTGATGGTAAAAGAGTCTAACATCTAGGTGTTACATGGTGTTGCAGGTGATAAAGATCCATAAACTACTTCCATTTGTTTAGAGGTGATTGCCAGTTTTGTTGGGATGTTTAGAGATACAGAGGTCCTGTTCTGCTTTACTTTAAAAAAAAGGATTTTCAGAGCTGTTGATATATTAATCAGTGTTCATAGAAACATGGATCAACCCTGTTTTGACAGTGAGAGTGTTACATTGTGACAGTTTCCATAAAAGTCTGCAAATTCTCTGAACAGGTAGCCATGAAGCAGCCATTTTTTTAAGATTAATTAAACTTAATATTATTTGTATGGCCATATCACAACAACAGCATAGCCTTAAACCAGGTTTGGAGTAAAGAGAACTGGACATATAGTTTCTTTTTTGGGTTACTTTGAAGTGAAGAAAGTTAACTTGTTTAGAACTGTGATCAAGGATAACACGTAAAACGTTGAACGTTTCAATATAAAAAGTGTACAAACTCCAGAAAAGTGGCAACTGAGGTGGCAAAAGTGCAGGCAATTTTCACTTAAGTAGAAGTACAGCTGCTAGTGTCAAAAACACTCGAGTAAAAGCTTGATAAAGTATCGGGTCAGAAATGTGCTCAAATTGAGGAAGTCAAAGTAGTAACCTAACTGAACCTTGTGCTATAATAAAAAAAATAAAATAATATTAGTAGATAGGACTACAAACTTAGTCTGGTGGTAAAAGGCACAAAGGCCTCAGGGGGACATTTGGCAGCCAGGGTTAGAGCTCAGACACCTGGAGCCTGGGGGTTGGGGCTAACAACACTGACTGGTAAAAGAATCTAACATCCAAGTGTTACATGGTGTTGCAGGTGACAAAAAGCCATAAACCACTGTTTAGAGGTTGTTGTGGAAGTTTTCCGTTTAATAAAGCCTGCAGACAAGCGATGAGCGGTAGCTAACATTCTTTAATCAAGACAAAGAACAGAAATCAAGCTTGGTGAGGGACTGCCATCGCTGGGGCAGAGGGTGAGCAGAGTCTCTCACTGAGCCTAGCATGGCTCTCAGTTTTGTCTTTCCCGCAAAGAAAGTTTCACACTGCCTTGCTATCTTTTACAGTGGAGAAAAGACAAAAAGACTCTTCCTGTGGAGTTGTCTGCTTCCCCCCAACTTCCTTACCAGACCCCACTATCTGTTAAACTGTTTAAATGGAGTGTGAGGCAGACATGCTAAAACAGTGACCTAAAAGCATTACCAATAAACAATGGGATCAATACATAAATGAAAGAAATGCAGCTGATAAAAAAGCCATAAACTACTTTCATTTGTTTAGTGGTGATTGCCAGTTTAGTTGGGTTTTTTTGAGACACAGAGAGT